CCGTGACAGTTGGCAGCTGCAGCCGCTTCGGTGGAGAAAAGCGGCGGCCGCGCCAAGAGCGACAGGTGTTGGCCGCGCCTTTGTCTCCGCCGGCTTTGTCCCGCGGGCGCGCCTGTGTCCGCCAGACGCCCGCCGCCCCCTCCGCAGGCGGCCCATCTGCCGGCCGGGCATCCCGGCGGGTGGGGTGCCTGAGGGGTGGGGCCTCACCCTTGGGGAGCGCCCTGGGGACCCTGGCCTGGCCCCTGCTCCCCGGGCCTGCGACGTCCGTGCCTCCGGGCGGAGCGGCGGTGCCAAGATGCCTTCGGACCTTGGCCTTCCGCCTGGAGCGCTCTCCGACGCCCCCCAACCCCATTGCTGTTTCCTCACTGTTTCGGTCTCAGCTCCCCTATCCACCTACCTGGCGGAAGCGCACCTGCCCTACAGTGGCGCTGCACCTTACCCAGCCAACCCCCTACTCCCCCGGGATTAGGATTGTCAGGGTCTGGCCTGTACCCCCAGGCAATGAGCATCCCTGGTCCAGGATATGGTCCCAGGTAGGATCCTCTATCTACCTGGTCCCACAGAAGCAGGGGGTGGGCAGGGAAGGTCAGACGGTACCCCAAGCCTGGCTGGAAAGCAGCAAGGGGAGGGGACGCCCGGAGACTGGAGTGTGGTGGGGCTGGTAGGGCCTGGCAGCCTTCCAGGTGGCTATTTCACTTTGGGCTCCCCACCAGAGGGACCCCCACAACCGGGGCAAGTTTACTGAGAGGTTTGAAGGTCCCCAGAATCACCTCACTGACCGCTTCTGCTGATTGTCACCTGCCCCTGTGCTGCCGCTGGATTGCTTCTCTGCAAGTAGCCCCCTGAGACTCCCCCAGCAGAGCATTGGACCCACTCCTTTACTTCAATCACCCCTGTTGTCCTCAGGCTCCCCCACAAGCAGAAAACTCAGCTGTCTTCCTCCTACCCTCCCTGTTTGCTCAAAGACCCACTGTGCTTCCTCCATGCTCCCACTGGTGGGGTTGACAAAGTGGGGGTGGTTGAGAGGTGGACCCCAAGCTGGCCCGTAACTTTATTCTGCTTTGCTATTTAGACATCACCTCAGGGAAGGAGACATCTCCCTGCTCCCCCCGCCACACACACACACACAAGTAGTAACTATAATTAAGTTTCTATGCTTTGCGAGTTGAGATATGGAAAAACCCTCAGGGATGTCTCATTCACACCCCTCTCATTCCCCGTGATTCTGTGTGAACAGGTATTATAGAATGCTCTCCGTGAAACGCAGCTCACGCTGGACCAGGGTGACCAGGGCCCCCGGGGCGGGTGGGGTTTTGGGGAAAAGATGACTAGAACACCTGATTGGATAGGGTCCTGAATGTGGGGGGTGGAGGAGGACATGATGAAGGCAAATCGCGCAACAAAAAAACTGAAAGGCAGTTTGGAACTCAGGAACAACAAGCTGCCCAAGAAGAGAAATGTAATCTCAGCACATTATTTGGCTCAGCAGCCAATTCTTTCACAGTCACAACACTGTTCATAGGTTTCAACATTTAGCATCATCTATAGAGAAAGCAAAGAAGGCTTACTTACCGTTACAGGACATGGTACAAAGTTGACTGTAGAAACCAAAGGACAGGTAACCGTTTGCCAGGAAGGAGAAGGGAGGAGGTGAAGGGAGGGCCAGGGACCTAAAAAACCTGTCTTCCATGGGGGTTGTGGGGGGGTTGGGATTGAGGCGCGCTGCCTACAGTTGAAGGAAGGAGAAATGAAGTGTTGGGATCTGCCCCAGGGTGAGCAAGAGCCCTTGGGAAAAAAGCACTGGGATGGAGTGGGGTGTGTGAGTCTTGACTGGACTGGGAGTTGCCCGAGGTCCTGCCTTTGAGGTCAGCCTCAGTTTCCACTAGTGGACCCACTGGCTGACTGGCTGGCTTGGCCTTTCCGCCCCAGAAGCCTGGCTACTCCATCTTGGGGCCACCAAACCCTCACTCCCTCCTCATATGGCCTTTCTGAGCAGACCCACTTCCTGCCATTTGTCCCTTGGACCCATCCCACCTTCAAAGGTCGCCTGAGCACAGATTTCCTGAGCATTTGGGCCCTTTGATCCCCAGATCCAGGAACAGAGGCAGCAGAGCCTGGGCAGGGCTGTGGTGGCCACAGGGGGACCAGATAGCGGAGGGGGTAGCAGGCCGTAAATCTCTAGGGAACAAAGACAGTGGGCAGCCTGTGGGTGTCTAGGCCCCTGTGGGCGGTCAGCCCGGGAGGCTCTGAGAAGCTCCTGTAAGTAAGGGGGTAGGACGTGCCCTTGGGCTTACATGGTAAATAAAAATGTGATTAAGAGTCCCCACAGGCACTCGGAAATCCAGTGGAACAGCCGCATCTGGCCACCTAGGGCCAGCTGGCAGAGGTCTTTGCGCCCACTGGGAGGGCTGTGCCTTTTGTCCCCCTCCCCCCACGTTATCACTTGGCTTTAGGCAGCCAGGCCAGGAGGGAGAGTGACGCCCTCGCTCCTGCGTAGGAAGCTTCTGGAAGGCGGAGCACTGGGTCCAGGGTCATTCAGGCCCCTGCTGTTACCCCCATGGCTCTCCATGGTTTTGCCCAGGCTGGACATGGCTTCATCACTGTAGAAGGAGGAACTGGACAGGTGGGGTGGGACAAGACCGTGCTGTGCTGCCTGCATCATCCCTGATAGACACATGAGGCCTTTGTGGCCCGGCCGTCTCTGCCTTCAGCCCATGGCCAGCATGGAAGCAGCCAGACCACGTGGGACAGACAACCCTGGGTGGGGCACAAAGGGACTGGAGTAGGTGCCCGGGTTACCACAGCAAGGAGAGTAGCGCCAGGGGCGGAGCCAAGCACCCCACCCCAGCCGTCTGCAAGGGAAAAGATGTGGGGGAGAAGTGGGTTACAGGATTGGATTTATATCCCAGAAAGTTCACTGGGCAGGGGCTGCGGCAGCTCCAGCCCTAGCTCGTAGGTACAGAGTGTGTCAGAGAGACACACTCACACAGGAAGGGACCAGCAAGAGGCATGCTTTGCAAGTGGAGATGAGAGAGGCCTTTGAGATAGAAAGTCCCTAATGCAGAATTTCCAGAATTTTTATTTTTTTAAAAATCTTTTGATAATCTTTGATCTCTACTCTGGTTTTCTTCCATGTTACATTAAAAATACATACATGGGGGCCGGCCGAGTGGCGCAATGGTTAAGAACTGGCTTGGGACGCCAGATGACCCCGGTTCAGATCCCACATATGAGTGCCAGTGACACTGCCCTCTACAGCTAAGATGATGAACAACAGCTCAACCTGGAGCTGGGCTGCCATGAGTCTCTGGAGACAGCGGCAGCTGCAGCCCCTGCTGCAGTGCGTTGCCATGGTCTACCGTGTGGAGCCAGCAGCCAGCATGAGCGGCCAGCAGCCGCCATGAGCGGCCGTCCAGAAGCCGGCGACTGATCTGCCTCACCCGGGAAGAACGACAGCAACTTGTCTGTTCCCCTTCCCCAATTCCCCAGCGCTGTTCCCATCCCCCCAATTCCCCAATAAAAATCTTTAAAAAAAAAAAATACATACATGGGGTGGCCAGGTGGCTCAGTTGGTTAGAGTGCACGCCCATAACAACAAGGTTGCTGGTTTGATTCCCGCGTGGGATGGTGGGCTGCCCACCGCCCCCCCCCCAGCAACTAGATTGAAAACAGCGACTAGATTTGGAGCTGAGCTGCGCCCTCCACAACTCGATTGAAAACAACTTGACTTGGAGCTGATGGGTCCTGGAAAAACACACTCTTCCCCAATAAAATTACTTAAAAAAACCAAACCAAAACAAAACAAAACAAAAAAATACAAATAAAAATATACTTGCTTTATTTACCAATTTTCTAAAAGGCAAAAAAGTCATAAAAAGACACAAGCAGTCAAACAAACATATTGCACTGGGTGGAAAAAGCTTGGTTTGCACACAAACAAACCACTTGTCCAGCAAGTTATTACACAGACTCGGAGAGCTTATTTACACATTTTTTTAAGGAATATATTAAAAAGAAGGCTCAGTTTAAAATCGAGAAAGAGTTTTATAATACCCGTGTAAGCACACATTCTAAAGAAAACATATGACTCGATGCGTGGCACCATGTAAACAATTCACAAAATGCTCCTACTGTCAACTTCTCAGCACGGTGAAGGTACGCGGTTACCAACCAATGAGGATACAGGAAATAATGAGATAATGCTGACGGTAAACATTCATAACAGTAGGGAACGTTCTGGCAGTTGATGTTCAGGTAGCAGAAATGCAACCTTGACTATAGGTCAATCCCTTTATGACGAGATTTCAGAGGCAGGAAGCAGTTTGCAGCATCTAATTTCCACACACATCGGCAGGCATCTGAAGGTGATGTTACTTTGTAAATTCAACAGAATTGAAATAGTGTTTTGTGTTTGAGTTTATAAAAAATAGGATTACTATTCAGGCATGAGATGGTGTCACTATGGAAACCGGCTGGATTATGAGGAGGCTTCACCTGTTTTAGCAGCCACTGCTCCAGCAGAAGACAAGGGGAAACCTGCTCCTTTTGGTTTCTACAATTTTAAGTCAATTGTTTCATCCGGGGGATCTTCTCATTCACTCCAGGGACCAAGAAAATTCCAAACAATCTTTGGAATATATGATGCAGCACGATTGGGCAAAAACTTGAACAGACTGGCCTCACTCACTTCCTCAATGGCCTGAAAGTGCCAGTGCCAGAAGGGGACATTACCTCAGAGGCCGGAAGCTGCACCAAGTGAGGTCCGGCTCACGGAGGGCGAGGGCCCACGTCTTGGCGCAGGGTGCGGGGGCAGAGGTGAGCTCACAGCACCCTGGGAAACATCAGACGGGTCACTGAGGGCTCACGGTGGCGCCGTGGCAGCGGCTGCTCTCTGCCAGGGCCAGAGCTCATGTCTGGGGGTGTCAGATGAGTAACAAACATGAACGGGTGCAAAATGCAGCGACCCCAGCCTGGTTTGCAGAGGGAAGTCGCCATGAGGAGATGACCGACAACATACGAATGGGTCGTGGTTTGAAAAGGATCCCAGGATGAAGTGGAAATATACAGGAGGGTCTGTCCGTGTGTGGATCTGAAAGCACTAGGCGTCGTTAGTGCAGAGGGGGCATTTCAACTTTGTTGGCCCCAAACGAAAGCTATGTCGCTTAGACACTGCTGCCACCACAGGTCCTGAGGTGGAAGCTGCTGGTTTGCCAAACTATGCATTACACCATTTAACGCGAAAACATTTTGAAAGAAAAGTGGGAGAGGCTGTGATCTCCACTTGGTAAAAAACATCTAGTTTGACTAGATGATAAGTTAGATAAAAAGCAGCCCCCGAGAGAGGCCAGAATTTGATCTGTACAAACACACCCTGGGGAAGCCCCAGAGGCCGGTGCCCTCAGCTTGGAGTCGCAGGTGGTCAGAGCCTCGGGACACCTCCCGGGAGGCAGGTACTTCTGCGAGCGTTCAGGCAAGTTCCCCGACACTAAAAGAGGGGGATTCAGTCTTTCTCAAGTTAAATAGGAACGAAAATCTCTTCCCTGTCTGTCCCCCGAAGTCCACATTTATAATGTTCAATATAAAAATGTATTTTTTCCAAACCCCTCCCACTATCCAGTTTTAAGTCACCCCTTCATAAAACTATTTTTTTCTAAAACAAAAAAAAAACCAATGTTGTTTTTTCCCCATTAGAAACAAACGTGAAACTCTCGTCCCCCCTTCCAGCACCATCTAATGTAGATCGCAGGCTGGTGGGGCAGGTGTGTGTGTGTGGGGGTTACGTCTGCCCTTCGGTTTTGTGACTCAGTGGGGGTCCATTTTCCTTTTCTTTGGTGCCTGTCACTTCGCTGAGCCCCAGGGCAGGGATGTGTTCCTCATATGGCACACAGATGTTGCCTTTTTCCGTGTTTTCACAGTAAACGCATTCCTTAAAAGAAAAAAAAGTGAAATCAGTAACAAAAATGACATCTTCACTATGAAGATGTAGTCCGCCTGAGTTAGTACAGGTGATCGGGTGTCAGCTGCCAGTTGCTCAGCTGTGGGGCCCCCGCCTGCTCCCCCAAGGCCAGGGGGCATCTGGGCCCTTCTCAGAGGTGGTTTTGCATAGGGAGAGGGTGGCGTAAGCCAGCAGGCTCAGGCTCTTTTCCCAGCACCTCCTCTTTCTGCTGTGGGACCTGGAGTTAAGTTACCTGCCTTCTCTAGCCTCAGTTTTCTCATCTGTAAAATGGGGCATCAGCGGTGTACCTGTCCACCTGTTCATTCCCCGACTAAGTGTTAAGGCCCTGTCATGTTCCAGACATGTTCTAAGTACTGGGATTCAGCAGCGAACCAAGACAAAATCCACGTCCCAGTGGAGGTGACATCCTAGCAGGGTTCGGAATGAGACGCGTCCCACAGCGCATGAGAAGGCGGAAGGCGCTCAGCCGTGGAGAGTGTCTGTAATTTCATACCGCACATTCAGAAAAGACCACAGAGAGGGCGACTGCGGTGGTTTCAATGTGTCCACACGTTCTCTGACGTTCCTCCCTCCAAAGGTGGAGCGCCATTCCCCTCCCTCAGACGTGGGCTGGACGTAATGACTGCCTCTCACGAAGAGGTGATGGAGGGGACAAGTGTGACTTCTTGGCCTGCGGCTCCCTCGTCTCCCTGGGGAAGCCGCTGCCACGCCACGAGGATGTTCCTGCCACCCTGTGGAGAGCCCCATGTGGCGAGGAGCTGAGGCTCCGCCGGCACCCAGCACCCAGCGCCGACCTGACAGACGTGGGAAGGCACCTCCCCAGAACTGCGTCCTCCCGCCCCAATCCAGCCTCTGGGTGACAGTGGCCCCGGCCAATCCCTTGCTTTCAACCTCAGGTCTATTCCCGACCCGAAGGAACAGTGGGAGATGAGAAACGTTTATTGTTTTAAGCTGCTGTTTGGGTCATTTGCTATGTCACAATAGATAACTAACACAGTGGCGTGTGGAAAACAGACGTGAAGGAAGCCAGAGCGAGCCATGTGTCTGTCTGAGGAGAGAGGGTGCCAGGCAGAGGAAGGACAGCCACCTGCTGGGCGGGTCAGGAGCAGCCGAGAGGCCAGGGCCGCTGGAGAGGAGAGCGAGGGAGAGGGGGAGGCTGGACGACGGCACGGGGGCGGGTCCGGTCTGTATGGCTTTGTGGCACTTTATGAAGGGATCTGAGCTGAGGGGTGACAGACCTGACTGTAGGGGACAAGGGATCAGAGAGTACAGCTGGGAGGCTGCTGTGACAATCCCGGTGGGGAGGGACTGTGGCCTGGACCAGGCTGGTGATGCTGGAGGTGCTGGCTGGTTTCCATCTAGCTTGAAGGTCCAGCCGACATGGATCACTAGAGGGGAGGACGGGGTGGGAGGGGAGGGGACTCCAGCACGACACAAGGGCTGTGGCCTGAACAAACGGCATATGGAGCTGCCTTTGAGCGGGGTGGGAGGACAGCGTGTGGGGCAGGTTCTCTCTGAGGGTAGTTGGACAGGTCAAGAGGGCCAGACTGGAGGTGGACACTAAAGCATCTCAGCACATAGATGCTTTTTCTGATCAGGAGTCCAGAGAAGACAGTTCCAGGGGGAGTGTGGACAGAGGAAAGCTGCCAACCCCGGGCCTGGAGCGGGCAGCAGGTGACCAGCAGGCCAGAGCCCTGAACCTGAGCGCACGGGGCCGGTGCCAAGGGAGCGAACTGTCCTAGATGCCACTAGATGGGGCCGCGTAGGACAAGGACAGAAGCCGCAGTGGATTCTGGGATATTCTTGGAGGGAACAGAGAAAGAAGAGGTGCTGGAGGGGGACAGGCCTGCTGAGAGTTAGGGACGCAAGTTTCATATTCCCACTGTTATTTAATGGTCTACGTGGCTGTTGGTTTATGACAGAGGGGTGTTTTGTTTTGTTTTTTAACTAGAAAACAGAATAGGAAGAAATAAAAAAATTCAAATTTCAGCACACAATTGAGATTCGACATGTCGAAGACCTCTTTGGGAACAATGTTGAAAAGCCACCGGAAGCCAGTTCTTTGAGGTTGACTTAACAGTGTCGCCCTATCTTTTTTGTCGATAGCCTTTTAACTTTGGACGTTTTAAAGTCAGACTAGTTGCAGAGTGCCGCGCGTCCCCATCACAGGCCCCTTTCCTGTGATGTCAGAAAAGCGGTCCCGTGAACTTACCGCCACGTCCACGGCCGCAGGCAGGCCGCCCAGCCGTACCCACGGGTGGACCTCCTGCAGCTCCTGCTTCTGGCTCTCCGTGAACCTGGGCTGGAGGGCCTGCAGCTGCTTCAGCTTCTCTCTGTCTTCCTTCAAAACCTCCTCCATGTTTCTTCACAGCGAAAGCACAAATCGGTAAGCTTTAGAAGGTCTCAAGGGTTTTGTTTAAAGAACACACTCGTTTTCTACCAACTCTTTCAGTATCAATAATGGAATTTCAGATGATTTTGTTTAGTGCAAACTTCCTCTTCGTTTCAAGTAGATTACCCTATTTAAGGTAACAATCTCCCTAGTAAATCTGTGGTTTTTCTATTAAGATGCTAATCCAAGTCACGATTTTGATTTGACTTTCAATTAGACATGGGAGCTGGGTACCTGCAGAGGCTCAGCTCTGCGCAGCGCAGTTAACCAGGGAGGCTCTTGCCGGGAGGCGGTGGGTAGAACCCCGTCCCCTGCCTCCTGCCAACGCTGGGCCGGCTTGAAGCTGCCCTCCCTGGAGACAGCCTGGCCTCCCGACCAGAGGTCCGGCCGTCCTGAGCCTCAGCGTCAGCTAGTCCTCCCTCCCCGTGTTTCTCCCTTCCTGCAGCCTCACAGGGGCCGGGACCACGATGGCTCCTTAGAGCAGCCTGACATGGAGGAGTCACAGCTGGGGCACAGACCCGGGGTCACTACAGAGCAGCTGGTGGGCTCGGTTGGTCACCTCCCTTGACCCTTGGTTTCGTCTCTGAGACACACCCCATGTGCCCCATAGGGTTACTGGGCCACAGAGCAAAAGAGACGGTGTTGGCACAAATGCTTCGTAAACGTCAAGGAGGACACTCTGGAGGGTCGCCGGGAGCCCGTCTCCCTCACTCCCCACTCCGGGTAAAGCACCCACACCGCAGGGCTCTGTGGGGCCAGCAGAACCACCTATAGAACCCTGTTTCTCTCTGTGCTGCACTCAACTCAGCCTGAGAGGAGGCTTTCCGAAGGAAGCCCTCCCCGACGCGGGGGCCTGTTTGGGGAACCCTAACCCAGCCCCGACGTGTCCCTAGGAAGAGGCGAGCGTTACCGGGAAGGCATCTGGTACGTCATCATGACGCTGTCGTCCGTGTCGGCCATCAGCAGCCAGACGGGGTCCTGCAGGACATACTTGATGAAGCGCTCGCTTTCCCGCATGGCTGCCCTCACGTTTCCTTTGTGGTTGTTCTCTGAAGAGTCAATGCTTCCGAAATACTTGCTGGTGTGACTTGTGTCACTACTGCCTGTAAGAACACAAAAGGAATGGGTCAAAACCTTTGTCGCCAAGTCCACCCTTGCATCCTGTGCTCATGTAAGTGATGGCAGCCTTGGGGGCCGCGAGTCCCACTGTGGGGCTCGCACCTGTGTTGCTGTCTTCCCAATTCTGGAATTACCTGGGTGATTAAATATGGGCTGTCAGCTAGTACCGTGGCGGTAGCTGTCCTGACCACCCCTCCCCGTCCCCAAGCAGCCCAGCGGGGCCCTGTCTTAGTAATCGTGCACCTCTGCCCTAGTGCTAACGCCCTCTTGACTGAGCCAGGCCACAGAGAAGCCAGCTTTGGCTTCCTAAGAGATGGCAGTTGGCCCGGAGCGGAGCGTGCTCCAGTGAGCACCCCGCAGGGAGAGAAGCCGGCTGGTGCAGGGGACACGGAGGCTCACTCCAGGGGAGCAGGGGTCTTTGGGTTTGCGGGGAGTGTGTATGTCCTGTCACAGCGGGTCCTGTCACACTTGAGTGGTCCGGCGGGTAAAGCACGCGGTTCACATGCTAGGCTCACTGACGGGAACCAACTCAGGAAGGTGAACCATGACCGGCTCTCCTGGGAGCCCGGGGAGCCTGAGGGTCCAGCAGGGGCCAGCGGGGCGTGCAGACTGCCGTGATGGCCACACGGCGACCAGGTGAGAGCTCGCCACCCGGGGCACAGCTGGGGCAGGACCAGCACCTGCCTACCTGTCTGAACCACTGTGGGCTCTGAGCGCCAGCTGGACACCTGTTGGGCCTGGTGTGCACCTGGTACTGGGCCCTGAGCACATGTGGCCTGTGGCTCAGGTGTAGCTGGGTCCCTGGAGTGTGGGAGAAGTCGAGGACGCCCAGGTACCTCATGTGAGAATCTTGCAGACGCACCAGAAATCCCTGGCCTAAAACACGCCCGCTTCCCCAGCACTCAGGTGCACCCACCGCCACCAACATACCTGTCCCACTTCTGGACACATCGCAGCCCAGTGAGCCAGAGCCCAGGGATCCGGAGGTGGCGGAGGCCCCGCTTCTAGACCGGGCTGACCCTGCGGCTGAGTAGAGGTCCTCGCGCAGTAAGAGGTCGAGCAGGTCGCTGGACGTGGAGAGGGCGTCACTGTTCTGGGCGTCTGGGGGCTCAGCACGCTTTGGAAATGGAGACGACACAGTCAGGACAGTGGGGACCCAGTCAGCACTCAGCTCCCCGGAGCTCCCCAGCGGGGGCAGGAGGAGCTGCAGAGCGGCTGTCTGCACAAGGTCACGCGGGGACACAGTGAAGCACGTCCTCCTCACACTGATGGTCCTCCCTTCACAAGCCAAATGGACAGCTGTGCGGCTTCTGGCACTATAGTCCATGGACGCCATCTAATTACATTTAACTTTGGGAGAGAGGCACCCAAGACAGCAGTTCTGGGATCCCTGGGGGAAAGCCTTCTGCGTGACCTCCACAGCACCCCGAGGCTGCTGCTCACAGGGGTGGGCTCTGGTTTCCCTGCTCCTGCACCCCCAGAGTGGGGGTGGCCTGGGAATGCCCTGGCCCTCTGGCCCTTGGCCCCCGGGCTGTAGGTCCAGGACCCCAGAAGGAGTTGGGAGGGAGAGCTGATGTGGGCCCAGGAGGTTCTACTTCCTCTCCTGGGAGCCAAGGCAGGGGAGCCCCACGCAGCTGCCCCTCGGAGCACCTGCCGATGACACTGCCTCAGCTCGGGCTCCGCGTCTGCCTGGGGAACAGTCCCACTGACTAAGCACGCCCGCCACTTCCTGAGGCCGGGGAGGTTGGGAGCGCGCCGGTGCTGGCCTCGGAGCTCCCCTGCTCGCCCTTGGCAGTGAGCGCCTCTTCCACCACCGCCCTCCAAGGAGCCCGAGCTCTGGCATTTAGCCTGGTCATGCTTTATCCTTGAAGTTTTCATTTAACATTTTGAGGCCCTTGACAACAAGTCATGAAGTCCTCTGCACTTACTGTCACACAGTCGATCTATCTTTCTTCATTCAGAGCCCAAGACAATAAAAAGCCCACTAGTCTACTCTGATAGGGCTGTTTAACCGGAACACGGTAACTCCTAGCACATGTTTTTACGTCAAAATGGAAATGCTTGGGGGAACCTCAGTGTGCACATCGCCCACGCCTGAGAGAGGACGTGCGTTTGACCTGCTATAGAGAAAGAACATCAGGAGACCCTTACTGTTGGCGGTGCCTTTGGCTGCCAGTCCCAGGATGTGCCAGGTTTGCAGTCCAGCCCTGCACCTGTGGTCCCCGCTGTCACTGAGGCTGCAGGGCAGCCCTCGGGGGCCTCCTCCAGCTGTAGCAGGTTGAGCTGCAGGGGTGAGCTGCCGCGGGACTGGAAGAGTGGCGGGGAGGCCCGGCCTGTGGGCCCGGCAGCTGACAGAGGGGTAGCCGGGGTGGTCACACGTGACACTGGTGGCCCACGCTCTGCCCGAGGACAAGCGCACGGCTGTGAGGTCCGACCAGAGAACTCGGGCTGCGACGCAGGGATTTGAAATGGAAAATTTGGCTGGCCGGGGAAGAAGGCCTGGGGCAGGTTTGGGGGCACTGGGGGGAAGGCATAGCTCGGTAACACCAACGCCATGACTGGGGTCATGGGGGCAGCGAAGGGCGGAGGCTGGACTGCAAACTCGTGCTGGGCGTCCATGGGCACAGTGGGCACCGCGAAGCTGGCATGGGGAGCCACCGGAGCCGCTGCCACTGTCCCGGGTGCCGGCACGATGGCTGGGGCTGGAAACGCTGGCAGGGAGTAAGCTGGCACCGGGGTGGAGAAGGGCACCGCGGGGCAGCTGGACTGGGAGGTGTCCGACGGTGACCAGGCTGTGGCGTTCAGGCCCACCAGCGGGGGCCGGTGGGGCACGGGCCCGCCAGACCCAGTGCTCTCAGAGGAGTCTCGAGGCTTGGCCCGTTTGGACTTCAGTTTTCTGTTCTTCCCAGACTTTTTCCACGATGAGTCCACTCCCGAGGTGTGTCTTACTCCAGGAGCAGCTTCAATAATGGAAAAACCACCAGAGTTAAAATGTATAAATGTGTAGGGTTCCTGTTATGTCCACTGTCCGAGACTTGTGGAATCTCAGAAACTTGGAGGCACCTCTGAGTTCAACAGCCCCCTGTTCCCAAATGCCAGCCTGGGGGCCACAGAGTCTCCCATGTGGCTTCCCTGACCCTCGGTGCAGGGAGAACAATCGGGGCAAAATGGTAAGTTCCATAAAACTAAATTCGATCAATTCAAAGGACCACCCTGAATTGCAAGATCACAGTCTTGTTTTCTTCTGGCATTACAAAATGTCCTTTCTTTTTTGATAATGGTGGTGATAAGTGGTATTAAAAAGATTTTATTTATCCAAAAATAAAATTAAAAAGCTGGCAATTCTATGCCATTCCCCAATATTGGGTTGTGAAATATGATGTCATCTAAGCTTCATTTTCAATTTTACGAGCTTGACCACTATCGTTCCTTAAAAAGAGATGTTTCCTGTTTCCCCATCAAATGAAGCCTGTGGTTCCACCCTGAGCGGAAGTCAAAGTGGGGAAGGGGGCACGTGCCCTTGGAACCAAATTCTTTCTCTCCAGTGACAAGTGCTGCTGAGATGAGGCCTGCTTTAGGAGGCTGGAGGGACTCAACTGGTAACAGAGGGGCCTCTGGGCATGTCCCCAGGCCTCCCCCGGGCACAGGCCAGCGTCCAAAGTACTATGGGCTTGGGGGTGGGGGTGATGCCGAGCCTGGGGCGGGACGGGCAATGGGTGCTCCTCAGCTCTTCCTCTCGGAGGCGCTTGCGGCAGGTGTGCCCGCTGAGCCAAGGAGGGTTGCCCGCCTGTGCTGCACACTGAGGCACGTGGGCCAGGGCCGACTTCCAAGCAGGTGGAGGTCCTGAGGTTCAGGCGCTCTTCCCACAGGAACTCTGCCCTCTGGTGGGACGAGGGGCTAAAGCACTGGGCCCCTGCGACACCACATCGCGATCTGGGCACTGCTGCTGTGGACAGCTGTGCAGTCTGTGCACTGCACAAACTGCTGGGTCAAGGGGGCAAGGAGGAGCTGGAACTCTGCACCCAGCCAGGCCCGCCAGTGGGTCTGCCCAGGGTGGGGAAGGACACCTTTTGGTAATTTCCACAGAGGTTCCCTACAGCCTGGCAGTGACCCTAGGCCGGGAAGGAGGAGAAAGGGAAAAGGAGGGGAAGCAATCCTTTCGGAGGGCGCCAGCCTCCTCTACAGACATTCACGGCACTGTCCGCCCCGGGACCCGGGGGGCTGGCTGCTGTGCTGCGTGTCTCCTGGGCTCGCTGGCTCTGACCCTGCATCAGGCCCTGAGCGCCCTGGCATCTCTGATCAGCCCAGCCTCATCTGTGGGGTCTGGGAGGGTGGCTGGGGGTGGAGCCAGGCTCCTGGACCAGAAAAGGGGTGCAGAAGCTAGTCGATGCTCCCTCATCCCTTGCCTTTGGACCACCTGGAGGCTCTCAGCCTAAAGGGCTGCTTCACGCACCCACGGAGTCTGGCTGGCTGGAGGCTGCAGTCCAGCCCTGAGCCAGATCGACCAGGAAGGCACGTCTTCTGGGGAAAAGGAGAGGGCGTCGCTCCTAGGGTGTCAGCCCAAGCACCCTCCTTCCCCAGTTACCTGACTCCAAATGCCCCATCAGTACTGTGCTCATTCTCTTTGGGGTGAATTAGCTGTGGCCTGCCTGGTTCTCCGAGGGTCCCATATGGGTGGGCAGGTGGGATGAGGTCCCCTGCCCCTCACCGTCACCCAGGCAGGAAATGTCCGACATGGCAGCATTGCAACTGCCCCGCCTGCGTTCCACAGGGGGCTGGCCTGGGACTGTCACTGCTATTTACAGCACTGTTCCCTTGGGAACACGAGAAGACATCCCTGAACGAGTCCCACTGAAACAGACTGCATCACCAGTAAGGTCCCAACAGCTATCTTACCAATGCACACGTGCTGAACTGCGGACATTTCACACTTTGACTCAGTACCATTAAAAATAAAGTTTTATTTAAAATCCACCTTTCATTCGGGTATCACCACCTACCTCTTTCACTGGACTGGCCCTTGGATCTTTCTTGTAGGTAGTAATGGCAGCGAGACTGGAGGATGCTGAGCCTCCTCGTCTCCTTGAACTTGAGCAGGAAGGTCTGCTCCTCCTTCTGCGTGTGGGCGGCCAGCACCTCCTTGGTGAGGCCCAGCCTCCTGAAGGGCTCCTTGTCCTGGCCGAGGCGGCAGTCCAGGGACTCGGGCCCGCTCGCAGGGTCTTCCACCATCTCTGTAACAGAAGACGCAGACCTCTCATCTGCAAGGACCCTTGTGATTTAGAACTGCCATGCCCCACCCACACCTGTGAGGAAGAGATCAGCCATGGGCTGGGCTCCAGGCTGCACGAAGCCCCCAGGATGAGGTCCCTGACGCGTTCGTTTGTTTAGCTTTCTGAGTAAGTTCACAGTGAAAGGCCAACAGCAATAGCAGAGCGCCGCCACCCAGCAGGCTGAAGACTGGGGCACCTCGGGGTTTCAGCCTCTGCTGTGCAGGGCAATCCTGGGCTGTCTTTAGCTTTGAGCTCTTCAGCTTTTAGAGCACGGCTGTTGCTCGGACCCACCCATGCCCCCCTCCTGGTTCAGGACCACCGGGGCGGCACAGGAGGGAGCATGTGGAACTGTGAGTGCAGAGGCAGGTGCAGGTGACCGATGACCATCCTGGAAGGGGGTCTGGACACCGACTGTGATGTGCACGTTTTCCCTCATCATCTCCCTCTTCCAGGCAAAGAAGAAATTCAGGCCCCGTTTTACTCGTGCGTGTTCTGGGGAACGCAGAGAGGCCGTCCTTGGCTGTACTGCTGGGCTGACCTGTACTGGCTCCTTCCTGCCCTCACACGGGGTGGGCGGTTCCATGCAGGGGAGGGCGAGACTGGGCAGGGTCAGCGGGGAGAGGGGGCATCGGTGCCAGCGTTTTCTCAGCCCAAGGAGGGGGACTTCTGGAATCCCTGATTAGTCCTGGGGGACCAGGCTCAGCACCACTGCAGCCCCGTCCGTATTTACACCCGAGCAGACAACTGCCAGCAGGTGGCGCCAGAGCGCAGCGGGGATCGGGACAGGCGTGGCCCTGGCCGCCCGCAATTCCTGCACCCGGATTTCCTGCGCCCCCTATTGGGCTGTGGTCGGTTCTTCTGCATGTGCATAGACTTAAAGAACGTTTTAAGATGGCAGTCAAAACTTCTAATGCCTACTGTTAAAATCAGGATGCTCTCGACATTATCCAGGAGCCGATGGGCGTACCTAGCTCAGGTTGTGGCTTCTTGTCGCCCACGTGCACGATGGTGCTGCTGTAGCTGCACTGGCTGGTGAGGGACACCACGCTCTCCGCCTTGCCCGGCAGCGTCAACGAGGTCAAGCGTGCGCTGACGTCCGCGTGTCTGGTCACTGTGGAGGGCATCGCCACCTCTTTAGAAGAAAAAAATGGATGAAGACATAAAAACGCAACAATAATGAACCGTTTGGTAAGAAGCACCACTGTCGAGATGGATCCAATACCCAAGGGACCGCGTGGCCTGCAGGCGCCCTGGCATGTGGCAAGCTATCCTCAGGTGTTTAATCACAGGGGAGCGCTGGGGAGAGGACGTTCGGAAACGGGAGCAACTCAACCCTCACATCCGGGTCCTCTGGGGGGGCCGGAGCAGCAGCAGCTCAGGGGCTCAGGGTCAGGGGCCTCGGCTCGGGGGCAGCCCGGAGAGTGCCGGCAAGCAGTTCGCTCTTCCTCCCTGCGGACAGGCACAGACTCCTCCACAGAGCGACTGTCCTATCGACTGCACTTCTGTCAAAAAGGCGATTTCCCATCCTGGCAATGACCACCAGCGACACTCGCGTTTGAGCGGCCTGAGCGTTAATCTGATTGAGGTAACGTTCAGACACCGTGGGAACAGGCCTGCCCAAGGATGACAACCTGAGAGGCCCCAGGCCTCCGCAGCCCCAGGGGCCCCTCTCTCAGATTCCAGAATCCCCTTTACCTCTAGCTTGTAAGAAGGTTGCTGACTCTTAAGCTACTTTGGTCATTTCAAAAATAGCCTACACCCACATACTGTGTCCCCAAAGCTGCTCAGAAGTCACAGGGGAGGGAAAAAGGGGGTCTCAGGCCTTCCGATGACACCCAGGGACCTGCGTAAGCCATCACACAGGTAACAACAGCCCAGACAAACACGGTACCTGCGGGAGGCGGCCCGGGGCTGCCTGTGGCCTTTCGCTTGTCGCTGGCCTTCTGCGTGGGGACGTTGGCAGGGAACTCACACTTCCTCTTCAGGGTGGTGGCCTCACTGCAGCTCTCCAGGTACCTGTGAGGATGGTCACAGTTTCAGGTAACTGAGCCCGGAGAGCGGGTGACCACCAAGGGGAGAGGCCAGAGGTGCCCGCACCTGATGACGCTGTCCAGGCAGCTGATCTGCTGGTAGGAGCCGGCCGGCTGGCTCTTGCAGGCCAGCTCTTCTGGGAAGGTGGCCTTGGGTGGGCTGGCGCCTGAGCTGTTCTCCTCTGTGGCCCGGGCAGCTGTCATCTGAGCAGGGGAACTGTGTTGCATTTCTGGGAGAATGACACAATTGTTCTTTCAGTCAATACGGGTGTCCCCAACGGTACACTTGATATTTGTATTTCCACCTAAAGATAAGGCTGGGGGCTCAGAACTCACTTCACAGGCACAGAAACCTAGTATCAGCCTGACACTCAGGCAGCCCTGCTGGGGCCAGCGGCTGTGCCCTCATATAGGGAACCTGGACGATGCTGTCAACCGGGCCTGGAGCTCAGTGGCCCTGGGTCCGGGCTGTCTCCAGGGTCAGGGACTCGGCAGTGGGAGGGGCCAGTTCTTATGGACTCCTGAAACTTTGGGGGTCCATAAGATCCCAGGTGCTTTACGGTCAGTCAGTGCTCTCTGCCTCCTGAGGGCCCACCTTTTCCAACACGACCCAGCCCCAGCGGTGGTAACAATCACGGCGGCCTGTAGGGCAGCTCGCCATGGACACTTCTGTCCTTGTCCTCACCACACGCACCACGTGCTATTCCCCTGGGGACCCACGAGGGCAGAGCTGATCCTGCTCGCTAGTGTCTCCCAGCACATGGGGCGCATCCACAAGGCTAAGTGCACACCCATGCATCCTGGCCAACAGGAGAGGCGGGGCAGGCCCCAGGTGAGCTCCGGCCCCAGCATTCCCCATGGGAGGCTTCCTGGAGGAGGCGAGGCCTGAGATGGAAGGATGAGTGACAGCCCACCTGGGAAGAGGGCTGGGGTGCGTGTGTGCACGTGTGAGCAGGAGCCCAAGCATGAGAGGATGAACTTGTGACTTGGGGAGGTGGGATCAGGCTGCAGAGGGGTGGGCTGACAGTCCCCACCCTGTGCTGGGGGACCCCACATGAGAGGGTGGCCCTCTCTTTTTTCTCATTTTCCACTGCAGACGGGGTAGGGTTTGGGCGTTTGCAGGACAGCTGGGCAGCTCCCCTGGTGTGAGCACGTGGCCCTATGGCCACTGTGTGCGAGGAGAGCCGGCCTGCAGGGTGCCAGGTGCCTGCACAGAAATGTGGGTCTATGTGTGGAATGAGTGAAGGCCCGTGCGGCCGGCTGAACAGGGCAGGGGGTTTGTACACTTACAATGCCACTTCCCTGCCACCCAGAGTTCAAGAAAGTGCGGTCCCACCTTGCCAGACTATAGTTTTACTGAGGAAATGGTGAACAGTTGTTTACCTGTAGCAGATTTTTTCTTCTGTTCTCCAGATTCGCCGGAATAATGACTTTTGTTTTTGACCTTGTTACCATTTTTTGAAATTTCCTTGAAGAAAAACAAAACGAGCACATTATTCACTATCAGAGATTTCAGCCCCCACAGTGAGGACAGAGAAAAGCAGGAATAGCTCAGCTACGGAAAAGGAAGTTCTGGATGAGAATAAGTGTGAGGCGCGGAGCTAGAGAAACGGCCTTGATACCCGAAAGAACAGTGGGAAGGAGAGCGGACAGGCATGTTCCATCTCCTCCTTTCTGCACTACGCTGCATCTGCCCTTTGGCTTGATTTGCCCGCTTCAATTAATTTTCATCAGAACCTCTCACCACAGTTTTTGGCTGCTTCAACTCCTAAGAGATTATACAGTGAGTCCCAGGGAAGAGTTTAGGGCATAGCCAGAGGTCGCTGAGATTGTAAAGGCTTCAGAAACCAGCAGGGGTGTTTTAAACATGCTTTGTGACTCCCATGTGCACACAGACAGGTTCTCAGGGACAGAGGGGGACCTACGGCTCTCCTCCGGCGGGCGTCCTCGTGGCCGTTGCTGTCACTGGAAGAGGTCTGGCTCATGAGGTGTTCGTGGGACCCATTGCTGCCCAGGCTCCCGTAGCCGCTGGAGCCACTGTGGGGGACGGGCTGCGGAGAGAGCAGACAGATGTAGGTGCAGGGCTGGGGCATGTGGGTCCCCCCAACGCTGGTGTCAGAGAGGCCGTGACCAGCCCGGGGCACTGGGCAAGGATGAGGCTCCCAGCCTCCGCCCAGACGCTAGTTCCTGGGGAGACCCCACTAAGAGGTCTTTGAACCACCCCGTCTGCTCACACGGTGCGAGCCCTCTTGGGTCTGTCGAGGGGTTTTAGGAACCACACCTGATGCATTACAGCTTCACCAGTGTGGGGACCGAGAAGCAGAAAGCTGCTAGGCCATGGGGTTCCCTATGCTCGTGCTGAGTTTTCTTGAGTACTAGGTCCCCAAAGACAGGGGACAGGGGTTTTCAAGTGTCCCTTGGTGCCAGCACAGCACCCTGGATGGAGTGATTCTGGTCCACTTGTGGGAGGCCACGTGTGGGGCTGGCGCCCAGGACTTGAGGCACCAGTTTGGGCACAGGAATCTGGGCATGTCCTTCAACCGCTAGCCCAGGGTTGTAGCTCAGAGGCAGACACCCCAAAAGTGCAAGGCTGGGGCTACCACAAACTGGGCAAGCCATAGGTGTGCCGGACCTTCTGGGGCCTGGCGCAGACTTTGCCCAAACCAGCCCAAGTGGGTGGAACAGAGAACAGGCACCAGGGTGCAGACTGGAGTGAGACAGGCCGGGGGGTGGTGGCAACCCCAGGACTCAGGGCAGCACTCAGGCTGCTTACGGGGCGGGGTGTCCGCCAGGGGCACCCACCTGCAGCAGCAGCCGGTGGATCTGCTCCATGAGCTCCTGAACGCCGGGCTGCATGACCTTCTCCTCTGCACACGGCTGAGCGGAGAACACGTCTTCATTCAAAGGGCCCCTGCATGGTTTTCATCGGTCTGTTAGTCGGCTGCTGCTCACCCCTTCAGGGCCCCACTTCCGCCCTGCAGCCCCCAGGCTGCCCCGGCCTGCTCACTGCTCCACCTCAACCAGGTCCCTCCCAGCTGGGGGCAGGGGGCAGGTGACCCCAGGTATGGGAGGTGAGTTGGGCCTGGCCTCCCAGGTGCTCCACGCCATCTGCTGGAGGGGAGGCAGGCCCCGCCCCACAGGGTCTGGGAGCACGTACACCCTGACTCTGTGTCGCCCGATGATGAACGAGATCTTCCTGCTCCAGGGGTTGATGAAGCTGGACCAGCTGGTGTCCAGCGTGATGTACTCCCCGTTGCGGGCACGGAACCGGAGGGGCGAATAGTCGAAAGGCTGCCCGCCGGACTGCATGACTAGGAGAGAGCGAGCAGGGGTCAGGGCGCGGAGACGCAGCCAGGGCTCCGGGAAGAGAACGGACGGCCGAGATGCCCTGGAGTTCGGCGTCACTTGAGCCACCGAGACCTGTTCTGAGCCACCGCTTTCAATCTCTGCTTTGCTTTAAATTGCAACAGGGGTTGCTTCTGGCAGCGTGGCTACACAGTCATGATTCCCATCTCTGCCAGCTTCAATGGTCTTCTCCGAGTGTCGCCTGTATCTGTGTGGCCGGGCATGAGGCACTCGTGCTGTCCACTACCCCAGCCTGGTCACGACCTTCCCTACTACAGCTAAGCCTGCCCCCCCTCTGCCCACCTTCCCAGGAAGCCAACAGTAAGAACAGGATGCCACTCGGGCCAGAAAGGAACCCACAGTCAGCCAGGACTCAGGCGGGACACGGGGCAACTGGCTTTGCTGGGTGCTGACCTCAGGACAAGCCCCAGGAGCACACTAGCTTGTGTCAGAGCCTGCAGGGCTGACCACGACAAGGGGACTTACTCTTTTTGTGGATGGCCAGCATCAGGGGCCTGTCGCTGGGGTGCAGTTGCAGCAGCACCGGGCTCTCGATCAGGTCCTGAGGTAGGTAGCCCAGGAGGGGGACTGCCCTGGAAGGCAAACACACACAGGGTCACCACGGCAGCGGCGCCCAGCGCAGCCCTGCACCTGCACTCCAGACACCGTGCAGAGAACAGCCCCCAAATGGGGCAGCAGGTCACCTCCAAAACCTTCCATTCATGGGGAAAGAGACAAACTCCACATTCTCAGGATCAAAATGTGGGAGTCAGGCTAACAAACAGCCTTTCAGTTAATTAATGATTAACTGAATTAAGCTGACAGCATCCCCATGGGTCTGTGATACAAAAACAGGGCCCTACCAAGTCCTACCCGGTGCAGGCTGGGGGATTTAGCTTTGTGTCTTATTTCCTGAAAGAAGAAATAATGAAAATGTTTTTGTTTTTCTTCTTTTAAAATCTTTTTCTTTTTTTGTGTCATTCCTAAGTTTGGCCAGAGGTGGGCTGGCATGGACCTGGAAATCCTGTCTGCGTGTACCTTTCCCATGGAAGAGGTTTTCCTTCTCCTATCACTCTGGCCACCGTGTCTAGTCACATTTGTTGTGACTCCCCTGGGTGTCGCCGTTATTGGCCAGGGACCTGCGCTCTGTGCCCGCACGTCTTCTCTGAGCTGTTAGTTTTCCGAGAGAAAGTTTTGTGTCAAACTTCTGCAGCGCCCCTTCGGCCTCTGTGGTGTCCTGTCCCCTGTGGTGTCCTATCCCCTGTGGTGTGGTTTCCTGGCCCCTCTGTGGTGCCCTTTTCCCTCTGCAGTGTCCAGCGTCCTCTGCAGACCGGACCCCTCCTCCTCCGAGCTGCAGCTCAGCCTTCTCCTTAGTCTCTGGGTCGTGTGGAAGCACACGCTCCTTGGGGTCTGAGTCAGGCTTCCCTGTTCCCC